AGAGTTGAGTCATGCACGTGAGTGAGACTTGCTCAAACACATGCTTGAAGCTCATGAGGACGACCAAGAATGCAATAGAACATCATCATGTGAGATTTGCCATCCCTAATGCCCTTGATCTTCCTTCCATCCCGCGCCGATCATGTCCCCTCTCTGGCTTCCGCCACCCTCAGTGCCTCTTTTAATTGGCTTTTCGACCCGTGCGATCTATGTTTCTCGCCATCCTTTTCTCGATCTCATGCTCACGTCTTCCTTTTCTGGTCATTTTGCCAGGCCTTTCTCAAGTCCTAGCTCTATCCTCTTTTCATACATTTTTTCCATGCCATACCTTCCTCAATGCTCAGGTTCAACCCTTTTTCATATGCATTTCTCCTCTGGACATCTTGCCAGGTCTTTTTAAAGCCTAAGCTCCGTGCATCCTTTCTTTGCCAGTCCGTGCTCAATCAATTTTTCATGACCTTTCTCAAGCCCAAGCAAAGTCAATTACACACGCCTTTCTCTTTTGGGCATCTTGCCAGGCCTTTCTCAAGCCCAAGCAAATCAATTACACATGCCTTTCTCTTCAGGATATCTTGCCAGGCCTTTCTCAAACCTACTCAAAGTCAATTACACACGTCTTTCTCTTCTGGACATCTTGCCAGGCCTTTCTCAACCCTACGCAAAGTCAATTGCACAAGTCTTTCTCTTCTGGACATCTTGCCAGGCCTTTCTCAAGCCTACGCAACGTCAATTACACATGTCTTTCTCTTCTGGACATCTTGCCAGACCTCATGCCTTTCTCTTCTGGGCCTCATGTCTTTCTCTTTTGGACATCTTGCCAGGTGTTTCTCAAGCCTACGCAAAGTCAGTTGCACATGTCTTTCTCTTCTGGACATCTTGCCAGACCTTTCTCAAGCCTACACAAAGTCAATTACACCATTTCTCTCGAACTCCTGGTAACCTTGTCCTTTCATCGGTAGCTGCCACGCCTTCCCCCCACTCAAAATGCGATGTCCCCATCGCACAACTGGTTCTCACTCGGAGGTACGGAACCTTAGCCCACCAACTGAGTCAAGAACAACGACCCACCTGCTCCTCGAAAGAAGGGTGATCAGTCCTCCCTCGGCAGATAGCGCCTCATCCTTCCACTTAGTCCGACCTTTTGCCAGTATGGGACGGGCGTCATCTCTGAGGTACCACCTCACATTCGGCAGGTAGGTCCAGTCCAAACCTCCCAGGACCCCGTCTTGCCATAAAGGCGTCTCTCGCGAACCGTTCCTCCCGAGTGGTATTTTCTTGGATCCGGCCTCTTTCTTTCAAGAGAGTTGGGGCTCTCTATTAGTCTGCAAGTGCAGTTATGAAGACCTCGCGGTTAGTCCTGGAACGGTTGTAATGATCCAGCAGAGCGGTGTTACTCGCCCTGTGGTGGGTGCGAACTCCACCCGGTACCCCGCCCGACCCCTCCCTTTGGACAGTGCTGCTCAACTTAATGTGAGCAGCCTTGGTCCATCCCAAGCACCCACGCCGCCCCTCTACGGTATGGCGTGTGGTTGGGAAGAGCAAATGAGACTTAGAGAAAAAATGGCTCCACGCCCGTTTGGCTCCACGCCCTTGACGTTTAGGTTCTCAACATGAGGCGCAGTTTGAACTCCCCGAATAGAGCTCTTTGTCGGAGTTAGTTCCGGACGGCGAGCACCAGTTAAAGAGAAAGATGCCTTGGTCCTTCAACCCTTATCCTTCCTTATGAGGAATAGGTCGCGCTGAGACTTTTCCCTTGACGGGTAGAGGTCCTGAGGTCGCGGTGCATGCACCGGTATCCCCCTCCTGCCGAGGCCTGAGACTAGATAAAGGCAAAATCTTCCAATGCAATCTCCATGTTTTTTCCAATCCGCTTAGGGCCCCCTGATATGCAATGCAATTTTCAATCCTCGAGCAATTCCTCAATGCAGATTCGAGATCCTTCCAACTCATCCTTTCTCAAGCAGCCATGCAAAGGGACCCTAATAACAATTCCAAAGAATGACCCTTGTCAGGGGCCATTCCGAACAACTTGGTTAGGGTCGTTCTTTCCATTCTAGTCGAATGACCTGGTTAGGGTTATTCTTATCCATTCCAGTCGAACGGCCTTGCTAGGGCCGTCCTTGTCCATTCCAGTCGAACGACCTTGTTAGGGTCATCCTTATCCATTCCAATGTTAGCGCCCGAGGGGGTGGGCCTCGAGGACACGGATCCCATCTTTGCCTTAGGGGTTAGAAGGTGGCCATCTCTTCACAGTTTTCTGCGTGCGATATCTCTTATTCTTTCTCAATACCATTTGTTGTTCATGCATACACCCAACTTAGCGTCTAGTGCTCGAGTTGAGGCTTTGCATCCTCAAGCAGCACTAGCCCACCCGGTCGTTCAACCATATCGAAGGACAGGGGCACCCCCTCTATTTTCACTCTCTCTGACCTCTCAGCTTTTTGTTATTTTCAGGCTCATTCAGGACTTAGTTGGATTAGGCTCTTAGGGAAGGGGTGTTCTTCACGCCTCTTTACCCATAGGTTCCCTAACCTCTCTTGTATTCGACCAACACTCAATGTCTTGCTTTGCTTGTAAATCCGAACTCCCGGTTTCTCCTCAAAAGCACAATCTTTATTCCATCCAAAGCTCATAGTACAACCATCCCAACCAGTATCACCCCCATACCCCGTGTCATTGTTTTGCACATACTCTTTCGAAGGTAGCTTATCCAGGAAGTAGCTTCAAAATGCTATATTCTAACTCACCGTGACACAGTTCTAGCTAGTCCTTACATCGCTCATTCCTAGCAAGCTCACTCATACTATCCAAATTTTATCATTCCAATGCTGCAAAAGAAAAGCACAATTTTTGTTCAATGCTCATAACCTCTAGTCCCTCTTGCTGTCATGTGTCCCATCTTGCTTGGCCCCTTGCCCATCCTGTCTTTCTACTGACTTTTTAACTCCCAGGCCGGAGGCCAGGATTTCTCTCTTTCTCTGCGCAATTTCTCGCAATTCCATCTCACTGTAAAAGTCCAAAGGCGTGGCTGCCACTCCCACCTCCACGAGTTGCCTGACCTTGATAATCCAGCCGTGCTTGACTACACTGATCCATTGCTCAAACCAATGACTGGGCGTTGGCCCAAACTCATCTTCCCATCCGGAGGATCCTTCGCGCTGCTGGTTCACAGGGGGTCGTTTCTCTTCTCTGGGCCTTGAGATCTCATCCCTCTCATCGCCACTGCTAATCTTTATGACCTCCTGGATTCTTCCTCCCCATCCACATCCTCTTCCGTTCGTACGGGGCTGAACTCACCCGTGAAGTTCTTCGGATTTAAGTTATAAGGAATTTTCGTCCTCTTCCCATATCCTTCCCCAAAGTCCGTGTATCCCCCTTCACAACTGTCGTGGCCGCTCCGCTGTTCATGCAGACTCTCCCTTCCTTCTTCCCCTTCTTCGCACTCGTCGCTCATGTCCTGCCTCCCTTCGTTCTCCCCATGCTAAGGCTCATTCTACTCGCACCCATCTGCCCTCCCCTCGGCTGAGGCCCGAGCCCTCTCTCCCATACTCGTTTTCTCTTCCTCGCTCTCACTCCCTGATGAGATGTATATCCCTTCTCCCTTTCTGAGAGGCGAGGGCCCTCTACACACCTGTTTTCTCGCCTCCCTGCCCTCTACATGTTTGGACAGATACCCTATGTACAACTTTCTCTTTGCAGTCGTCCGCTCCCAACTTGGTCCGGCTCCTCCCCCTTCGCTGGGCCTTTTGATCGCCCCGCTGTCATTTTCGTTGCCGAATTCCATTTCCACTTTTCTAAGGCTTCTTCCCTGATTCTGTATAACAAAACAACACCAACTGAGCCCCTCATACACACGTCCCCCTCCCCAGTTTGACAGGAAATACCCCTTCCTTCAGAGTGCCCCCAGTATCCCTTGTACAAAGCCATTATTATACAGTGCCCCTTCATGCGGATGCCGCATTTGCAAGGACCCCTTTATTTTTCCCTAAAAAACTATGGTACAATGCTCCTGGCAGCCTTTCCCATTACCATTCAAAACCATTGGTACAAAAAGCCCCAGGGCAACCCGCCTCCCATTTTCAATCAGCCCAAGTCATTGCCCCCTCCCAAAGAAAAGGAAAGTCCCACAGACGTAGTCAGAGACAAATCATGGTGTGGGCAAAGCTGTCGTCAGTTCTTAGCTTGTAGACTCCTCAGTTTCCTTATCCTCGGCCTCCTGAAACCATTGTTCCACTGGGTCCCGACTTAGAAATCTGACTAATCGTTGTTCTGGGAAGGGCCCTTCCAGTTCGACCCGGTAGGGGCCTTTGAACCTCCTCCCAAGTTGCCCAGACCAGGTACTTTCGAGTGCCGAGTTTCTTACCAATACCGTCTCCCCCACCTGAAGTGGCTCCTTTCGGATATTCTCAACCTGGTCCCACCTTGTTTTGTCCCTCATCTTGCTGTCTAGTACCCGGTTGGCAATGTCTTCCATGGCCTCCTTGTTTCTAAGGACTCGTTGACATCGCGCCTCAATTAATTCTTCCGCGGTCATACGCGGATCGTCATCTACGCTATTCCAGGTAGGTATCAAGGCTTCCATGGGAAAATCGATCCCTCTTCCGTACCAGATTTCCGTTGGGATACATCCCGTTGTCCTCTTAGGTGTCATGTTCGCCGAGAAGACAGCCTGCTTAAGATACCTAGGCCAACTCCCCAGATTGTCCGCCGCGAGCTTCACAATTGTGTTCTTTAAGGTCCTGTGCCCCCTTTCCACAGGTGCATTAGCCTCCGGGTGATATGGCTCGATGAGTTTGATAGGTAATCAGAGCCTTTTAAGCATTCCCAACACCTCTTGGTTTACAAACTCCGTTCCATTTTCTGCTATAAACCTCCTGATGAAGGGGTGCCTCAGGTAGAAATCCTCTATCCAGTTTGCTATACTTTTTCTCGTCTTTTTCTTGAGGGCGACTGCTTCCACGAACCCACTCAAGTTGTCCCGCGCATCCAGGATATACCTGTATCCATCAGTTGACACGGGCATAACCGCAAGGTCAAGGTGGACCAGATATCCAGGCCCCAACACCCGTGTTGGTCTAAGTGGCTCGAAGATGCGAGCCGAGCTCTGTTCCTGGCAGATTAGTACGTGGCGACCATGCCTGCCATGCTTGGCCAATAATAGAGCAGTGTTATCTTTGCAAGAGTCCCTTTGGACGATCGATGTCCCCCTGATAGTCCATCGTGCATCGCCTGGATCACGTCCAACTGCCTAGACCTCCCGCATACGACTCTTCTAGGTGTAACGTCTTCCTCTCTCCTGAACAGATGACCGTTCCTTAGGACGTATCTTTCGGCCTCCTCCCTTGCCTTAATGCTGACCTCCACGGGCTGCTTATTTCCTACCCGCAACAATCTGATTTCTCGAAAGACCCCTTCGTACATCTGAACATAGAATAACTCTTCCCCTTTCTGATCCTCACCCTACTTCTCCTGCATCTGGTTTATCATTAGCTGCGACTCTTTTCGTTCCCAAGATTCCACTAAGCTCATCACGGCTTCCCGGCCTCCCTCAACGACCATTGCTATCAATTCCTCCTTCGGGCCTACTATTGCTCCCCACGAGTCCTTCTCCTCCTTGCGTCCCCGAGTAGTGACTGGCCCTTCCCTAAGTTCCGCCACTACGGCAGGTGCCCCTTTCTCCAAGGTCTGAATCAACAACTCTCCCGACGCGCATCCTTCGCTCATCATTTCGTTATCCACCGCAAGGGTTCCTCCTTCGTATTCAAGGAACTCGTTGATGGATCTCTGCATCCTCCACCCCTTCGGGCCTGATACAAACCTGATTTAGCCCATCGGCCTTATTCCTAAGTCCAACAATTCGTTCGATCTTGTAGTTGAACTGCCAGATGAATCCCACCCATTTCCCGACCGTCGGGTCTATAGGCTTGTAATTCTTTAAGGCCCCATGACATTGGTCAGGTTGATCCTTAGGATAAAACGTCTCCCGAATAGGTAGGCTTGGAAGCTTTTGAGGCAGTGCAGGACGACTAAGACTTCTTTCTTGAACTGCGAGTATCGCCGTTCTGCTGAGTTCAGGGTTCTACTCTCAAACCTAATTGGCCTCTTTTTTCCTCCCTCATCCTTTTGAATCAGTACGCCCCCTACGACCAAGGGTCCTCCGCCCGTCTCTAGAATAAACGGTCGTCCAACTTTGTCGTTAAAACAGGGTGGTGCCAAAGTGACTTGCTCTGATGTCAATATGTCCGTCAGGGTTTGGACGGCTCCCTCTCGCTCCTCCGTCCAATCCATGGTTCCTTCCTCTCGGATCATGGCACGGATAGGCCCAACAATCTTGGCAAAATTTTTAATAAAGATCCTCCGAAAGCCGACCACGCCTAAGAACGCTCTTACCTCCGTCGTCGTGCGTAGGGGCGTTGGCCACTGCAATATCTTGTCGGTCTTTGCTGGGTCCGGCTTCCTTCCGTATGCGCCACAGCGAAATCCTAGTATGGTCACTTTCGACACTGCCAGAATACTCTTTGGTCCGCTAGCCGTGATGTTGTATACTAGAAATCGGCGAAGTAAGTCCTTGATGTCATGTAGATGGTCCCACATAAATTTTCGAATTCCTGGCTGGACTTCCGTCTCGTCCTTCTCCTGGGCGCCTTTGATCGGGTTGTCATCGATGTAGGGCGCACACTTCTCTGGGAACATGTCCCTGGCCTCCTTTGCACTTCGGCTACTGCGTTCGTAAAACCCATAGGGGTTACCTGCATCTGCAACTGTCCTACGGGAGTATGCATTGCGGTGTATGGTCTGTCCGGAGCGTCCAATGGGAGATGATCGTACCCGGAATACAAGTTTACCAGGGAGTAGATGCTCCGGCTGGCGTGAGACTCTGCTAATAAATCGGCCTGTGGTAGCGAACCGGCATCCCGAATGGTTACTGCATTCAACTTTTGCAGGTCTTGAATCCACCTCAGCGTCTTGTTGGGTTTTCGAAAGACGAACCACCTGTTTGCGTATGGTGACGCCGTAGGCTCTGCGACGAAGGAGTCCACTTTTGCTCAAAGAAAGTCTGTCACTTCCCCTGCTATCCTAAACTCATAGGATGGTCCTTTGTCATTCCAGCACTCATGCTCTACTGTGTGGATCCTGACTGGAGGGATTAGCTTTGCGTCTAACCGCCCTTTTTGGTGATCACTAAAGGCAAATGTCATATGAAACTCCTGACACGTCCTTTTGATTAGGAGGGTTTCTTCCTCCGTTAAGAATCCCTCTATTCCTATCTTCATCGTGTCAGCTACCTCATCTGGTATCCGATGTCCTTCTGTCGCTCGCCTCTCTCGGATTACTCAAAGGACCTCTTCCTCCCTTTCCATGGCCTCTTCCCTAGATGTCTCTAGCAGGATTGAGACTGACTTAGCTTTCTTCCCTACTGGCTTGTACTTTCGAACACTTCCTTCCGGGATCTTTCTGCTAAAAAATGAATGGTCAGAATTACCCTTGTTGCCTTCGCGACCCGTGGTTGAATACTGATTATCTTCCCATTCAGACAATATCCCTTCTGTACTTCCCTTTCAAATTTGCCCAGCGCCGCCGGGTCCACCCCTACTTTGTGATACCTGATAGCTTTGATGAGCTGTAATAAGTCGGGGATCTCGAGTTTGATTTCCGGTACCTCCCTCCGTACCTCTTTCCGCTTGGGCACGTTGGCTCCAAGTTCAACTTCTGATTCCCTTTCCGCCACCATAACACCCAAGACTTCGTCTTCCTGTCTTTTTTTCTTCTGGGGCAGGCCCATCTTGATCCATTTTTTCTTATTGAACGCTTCCTCAATCATAATTTCTACCCTTTCTCTCATACCCTCCATTCGCGCAAAAACCCCCTTTCGCGCGCTATCTTCGAATGTTGGCGACCATGTTGCCAATTTTCCTTTAGGAGGGTCCCCTCCGGTCCTGATGAGTCGGAGGAGCTCCCCTCGGTCAGTTACAGGGTCCTCTAAGTCCACCATGTATGTGCCATCATGCAGATGCATCCCTATCATTTCTACATTTGCGCACCATGACCTCCCGAGGATTATGTCATGGTCCATCTCGTCTAGCACGGTCATCCGCTGAAATGACCAAATCGACTGCCGGATGCTGCCTTGACTACACATTTGGTGACGTACCCTGAAAACGGGATCTCGCCACCAGCCCCTCGGATGCTCCCCATTACTTCTTTGTTAACCACACAACCGGTAATTGTTGTGAAATCTTTCCTTATGAGTGTGATTTTCGCGCCTTCGTCTACTAGAGCGTCTGTGTGATGTGTCCCGATCTGTACCTTTAACTTCCCTACGGGCAGCGCATGGAAACTAAGCTTCGTCCCTGGTGGGGCCCTCATGACTTCCCCGCCTTCTCGGTCTAGCAAGCTCGAACGGATATCCGCAAAATCCTTTTCTAGGTCTTCCAAATCCCCAGGGCTCCTTTGAAGATTAGCTACTTCTTGCGGAGCTTCCTCCTCTTTTTCCTTCTCCTGTAATTCCAGATTTTCATCGATCTCCACTCGTCGGCGAGTCAATAGTTGTCTGAGCCTTTTGAGCAGTCTGGGGCTCGCTTGCAACATGGTCTGAAAGGATACTGATACCATGGTTCCTAGTAATTTGCTAAGGGTGTCGTCGATCTCTGGCATGGTGAGGATCGGGATTTGATATCTAAACTTTTTCCTGGCAACGGTGACCTTGTCCGTCGGCTCCTCTTCCCTAGGTTTCCCGTAAACTTTCTCCGGTTCGCCGATATCGGGGTCTGCTTGGGTGGCGGTGCCTCCAACAACTTCCTCCATGTGATGCACGTGCAGAGGGCACGTGCGGAGATGGTGAGAGAGAGAGAGAGAGAGAGAGGAGATGGACACACACGAAGCAGCAGCAGAGTGAAGGTCCCATTTCGGCTCAATGAATGAACGAACAACTGAATGAATGAACCCCCCGCCCTGGACCTAGGCCGAAGTGATATACCGGCCTAGGTCCAGGTACGGGATAACCTGGTACCGGACCAGGGTCAGGCCGACGGCSTGAAACTGGTCCGGCCTCACTGYCGGGCCGTAGGGGTACCGCTRCACGATCCTYGGACCTGTGAATGGATCAAGCRATACATCAAACACGCTATCTGCTGAAATAGCGGACCCCCAAAAGGACGGCGAAAGAAACAATCCTAGATGCGGAGCAGGCTCCATGCAGGAAAAGGGMTGCAATGCAGACTAAGCCTCAAGCCTAATCTATACCATAATGTCTGGTCTGTGTCGACCCAAAAAGTAMAAAAATGTCTGACCTGTGTCGSCCAAGAAAGAGAAAAATGTCTGACCTGTGTCGGCCAAGAAAGAGAAAAATGTCTKACCTGTGTCGGCCAAGAAAGAGAAAAATGTCTCATGAGCCCARTAGGCTGAATATAARTCAACACCGGGGYCCTAAAGGCCAAGGAATAACTAAACCAATGTCCTAAGGCGAAAACGAATGTGGCACAGTCTCACRTGCCCTGTACACAATGCACAATACCTAAGAAAAGAGAAAGGGACTCAGTCGCATGGCAGAAGTAGGAATGGGTGGGAAGGCGGCAGGTACAGTTCTCAGAGTAAACTCCAAGGGGGCACCCACACAACCAGGTAAGGGGTCATCAGGCTCAGAGGGGG